GCTATCGCCCACAATTATCAGCCCCCAAGCACCTGTATTCTCCAGTTCCGCCAGAGGAAGTCTGAAGCTCTCTTCTGGCCTCCACCGGCATCTGCACACGCGTGGTGCATATGAACTCATGAAGGAAGGCACACACACATACACTTCAATAAAAACAATGAAGGAATCTTCTCAAAACCATGGAGTGAGACATAGTAACTAAACGAGAGAGGCGTATGATGATGCCATCATGGCACCATCTACTGGGATCCTGGAGTTACACACTAGCTTTATATGGTTACTGTGAGGCTTAAATGCAATATAAAGTTCTTGAACATAATTATCTTTTAGCTGCCTTGTTGTGGTACAAAGTAATTGAATTAAACAATGAGCTCCTTACAAACCGAGGAGCTGCCCCATCTTTGGTTCTGAGTCTTAAATCCTAGCACTAGTTTCTGTGTAAGCAGGAAGCTGGCTGCTCACTGTTCCTGGAGGCTGACCTAACGGTCCTGAATGGTTCCAAACCGGTTTTCAAAATAGGCACCAACTGCAGAAGAGGTTTTAATGAGCCTTTCCTGGGTACTCAGAGCTATTTCCATAATCACTGTAATGGTGGTAATTCTCATTTTACTTAATAATTGTAAAGCTTATTTTAACAAAGGCTGAGTTGTGCTTTATCTTTGGTGTTTGTACTGATGATGCAAAGACAGTTGCTGGTAACACTGCTGATACTGTAGCATGAATGTTAAGCCTGTGGAACTTGTCAGGGAGTGATGGCACAAGTCTTTAATCCTGGCACTTGGGGAGCAGAGGCAGGCGGATCTCTGTGAGTTCCAGGTTAGCCTGGACCACAGAGCTAGTTCCAGGACAGCCAAAGCTACATAGTGAGACCCTGTCTCAAAAAAACAAAACAAAAACAACAACAATTTGTTACTATTACAATTTGTCCAACTTGTTACTATTACAATAGCCAGACACAACCAATTTACAAGGGAAAAGGCTTCACTTTGACTCATTTAAAAGGCTTTGGTTCATGTCGTCTTGACCTGATAGTTTTGGCAAGAGCAAACTGAGGACTCATGCTGCTTACTATATAGCTAGGAAGTTAAAAGGAAGGGACTAGGCCGTTCACGCCCCTAGTACCTAAAGACTTCTCATTAGGGTCCCCAATGGACTGCTGGGGACCAAGTCTTTAGCATATGGGCTTTGGGGGGTACCTCAGATCCAAATGATAGCAGGTATCAAAGTCCTAATTAAATGCAGATTCCCTAGGTATATATCCGTTCCAAATTTCTGTAATGAAATAACTGTACCCAAAGCATTTCCACTCCTTAGTGGGGCATGACCGTTGTCTTATTCTTATATCATTATTTGTGTCATGAGTTCAGCCAGCCATGTTCATTTTTCATGAAGTGCCATTTTTATTTGAACTGAATGAATGATATGCCATAGTATTCAGATTTTGTCAAGAATAAAGTAAGACATCACTTCGAGTAATGCCAGCTGGCAATGATAAAAGTCTTAATTTTGGAAAATTTATATCCATCTTAGTGAGCCAAAAGTGTCCTAATACTTCAAGACTTTAATAATGAGTACTGAGTGATTTTTGAGATCTCAAATTGTAGCCCAGGGTGACCCTGAACTGACTATGTGGCTCAGGCTGTCCTAAAAATTGCAACAATCTTCCTGCTTTAGCCTCCCGAGTTCCTGAAGTTAGTTACTATGTGAAACAAATATTATAATTTTGATTCTGTATAAAATGACATGTGAACAATATCTGGAAGATTTGCATAACTTAATGAACAAACTTTCCTCATGACCAAAGTTGTTATTACAGAGTAAGTCATACAATGGTTAAAGACCCATTCAACAGGGCCATCTCTATACCAGTGTAAACTTTGAGATGTCTCAGAGTCCACATTGCAACTAACTTTAAGAAACTACCACTCGTCAGCCGGTCATGGTGGCACATGCCTCACTCCCAGCACTCAGGAGGCAGAGGCAGGCAGTTCTCTGTGAATTTGAGGCCAGCCTGGTCCACAAAGCAAGAGCCAAGACAGCCAATACAGAAGAAAAAAAAAAAAAAAAAAAAAAAAAACCTATGTAGAAAAACAAAGACAGAAACACAAAACAAAAACAGATTTTAAAAGGTTGTGAGAACAATTTTTTTTCCTTGGTATTTTTCGAGACAGGGTTTCTCTGTGTAGCCCTGGATGTCCTGGAACTCCATTTGTAGATCAGGCTGGTCTGCCTGCCTCTGCCTCCCAAGAGCTAGGATCAAAGGTGTATGCCACCACGGCCTGGGCAAGAAAATATTTTAAATATCACCAGTTGAAGAGATGGCTCAAGGCTTAAGAGCTGGTACTGCTCTCCCAAAGGACCCGAGTGCAGTTCCCATGCTGCGCTTTTCGGGTTCTTTTGGGTAACTGCACTTACCTACAGAGACACATACTTTTTAAAGAATCTTAAATATCGCATTAAGTATCAGGTATAAAAGCCAGGGTTTTTTGTTTTGTTTTGTTGTTGTTGTTAAAGTAGACCTCGTTATAGATATCTGCAGAATTGAATTGCTGCTTTTCTCATTAACTGTGCTTGTTTTGAGATAGGGGTTCTCTATGTTGTCTTGGAGCTCGCTCTGAAGATCAGGTTGGTCTCAAATTCATAGAGATCTGCCTGCCTCTGCCTCCTGACTGCATGAAGGAAAATCGAATAGCTCAAGCTCCCTTTGATTAGGAAGTCCCATTTGTGTCTCCAAATGGATCAGGGAGAGATTTAACCTTTTGTGCTTCAAACATGGCAAAGGGGATCTTCACCTGTAAGTGTGCCAGGACTCACAAATTCTGACCAAGATTTGTGTCACAGGACATAATAAAATAGACTGGAACAGTCCATTGCTCGATGGAACTGTAGCTCGTGCCTATTTTAGCTCTAAAATTCTCTGTGTCTTTACCCTCTAGGCTTGAGACCTTTTGTATTGGTTCTTTTCTTTGGTCTGAGAGTGGATCGGCAAGCATGGTAATTTTTTAGGATCTGTATTTAATAAAGAACAAAACCCACGAGGAAACTTTCAACTTCTGGGTATCCTAAAATTTCCATTTAGCCGGGATGAAAAGTGCCAAAGTAAGACCTCACTAAAAACTAGGTTGTCGCTGAAGAAAAAGGTAAACAAGGCCAGGTCTAGCAAGTGATGGAATTGAAAATAAAAGGCATACAGCAACACACTGACTGGCAGTCGCCTTTCTTTTACCCAGGAAGCATTCCCTGTGGACTGAATGACCCCATTGTCTTCATCCACTTCCACTATCTTCCTCAGGACAGGTCATATGTTAAGAAAGAATAACGAATCCTGGAGTCGGCCTGGCAGGACCCAAATCTCGGGCCCGAGTTTCTTCCCATGTAAGCAGGAAGGATGTCAACTTTGTAAAATCCTTGTGAGGTTAAAATCATGCATATAGTACAAACAGACGAAAAGCTGGACATGGCACGGGGCTGTTATTTACTGAGGGAAAGTCTTCGCTTCTCATTCCCTATCTGTGAGCAGGTTTTCTCCCTCCCCCCCCCCCCGTTATTTCTCCACAAAATCAACCTCCTTCCCTTCTTCTCTCTCTCTCTCTTTCTCTCTGGGCTGATGGTGGAAACATCTGATCCTTCAAATCCCTGAGTCATCAGCATTAAGAAGCTGGGTTCCCCAAGTCATTCCTCGTCCTCCTGTTCTCTAGGGCTCCCTCTCCCGACTGCTGAGCTCTTGTAGTGGGTCCAGATCGAAATTCCGGGCTGCAAATGGCTCGCTGCTGGCCTACCTGACTCACAGAATTGTCGGCAGCCTTCTCGGCCCTCAGACCAACTAGGGGACCACGACAAGACCCAGCCGTCACGGGGATCGGGACTGACACTCACGCCAGCCCCCAGGGTGGAAGCGGAGGCGAGAAAAAAAAAAAAAAAAGGATGGGCGCCCCGCAGAGCGCCATCACAGGCGAGAACGTGGGAATCACGAGGCGGCCACACCCAGAGGTGAGCGTGCGGGGGGCGTGGCCACAGCCCGGGCGAGAGCGAGGCTGGGGGCGTGGCCGAGTGCCCACTGATAGGGTGGCAGAAGCGGTTGCGGAGAGCCACACCCAGAGGTGAGCGCGCGGGGGGCGTGGCCACACCGCAGGCTGGGTACCAGGATGAGGGAGGGGCGCCAGAGAGAGATGCGGCTCCGGCCCTTTTCGGGATGCGCCGGGCGTCCCCACGGGCGGCGCGCGCAGCCGCCCGGCGACGCGTGAGGCCACGTCGGGGTTAGGCCGGCGCCACCTGGGCGCGGCCGAGGCGAGCCGGGCGCCGGCGGATCCCGCGCGGGCGCGGCGAACAGGTGCCCGCGCGCGTCCGGCGCCGGCCCGAGGGGCGGGGAGAGGGGCGCGGCCGGAAGCGCGGGGCGGGTGCCTCGGCTGCCCCGGGGAGCCCAGGGGCCCGGGCGGCAGGAAGGAGCGCAGGCTCCGGGGCTGCGCGGCGCGGGATGTCCAGCCGCCGCCTCGGCCCCTGCAGCAGCAGCAGCAGCAGCAGCAGCCGTCACCGCCGCCGCTGCTGCCGCCGAGCCGGGGGACATGGAGTGCGGCTGCAGGGAGCGGCCGACGGCAGCAGCAGCAGCAGCAGCAGCCACCGCGGAGCGCAGCCCGCCCCGTGAGGCGCTGGCCGGCCGGCGCCGGCGGCGGCAGCAGCAGCAGCAGCAGCAGGGCGGCTGAAAACCCCGCGCCCCCGCGCTCTCCCCTTCCCTTCCTCTGCCGCCGCTCTCGCCCACCCCGCGGTCCTCGTCCCCGGCGCGCGCCGGCCGCTGAGCCCCGGGGGCGGGGGCGGGGGCGGGGGAGGGCGAGCCGAGCGTGCCGCCCGCGCGCGCCGCGCCCAGGGTTCGCGGGGACCCGGCCGGGGGGGGCGGGAGGGGGCCGGCGCGTGCCGCCGAGCGAGGCGAAGCGCGGGGCGGCGCGGCGCGGCGGGGCCCCTCCCCTCCCCCGCCGCAGCCTGGCGCGCGCCGGCCGGGCCGCACCGCTGCGGGCTCGGCGCGCGCGGGCCATGTCCGCCTTCTGCCTGGGCTTGGCCGGCCGAGCTTCAGCACCCGCCGAGCCGGACAGCGCCTGCTGCATGGAGCTGCCCGCCGGCGCCGGGGACGCAGTCGGGAGTCCCGCCGCCGCCGCCGCCCTCGTCTCCTTCCCCGGGGGCCCCGGGGAACTGGAACTGGCCTTAGAGGAGGAGCTGGCGTTGCTGGCGGCCGGGGAGCGGCCGTCCGACCCCGGGGAGCATCCTCAGGCGGAGCCGGGGTCTCCGGCTGAGGGGCACGGACCGCCCCCGCCGCCGCCGCCGCCTACCCAGGATCCCGAGCTGCTGTCGGTGATCCGACAGAAGGAGAAGGATCTGGTGCTGGCGGCCCGGCTGGGCAAGGCTCTGCTCGAGAGGAACCAGGACATGAGCCGACAGTACGAGCAGATGCACCAGGAGCTGACCGATAAGCTGGAGGTGAGGACCTCCCGGCGGCATGGGTGGGAAGCCGGGTCCTATCCCTGGGCGGTTTGTGGAACCACATGCCTCCCCCCCCCCCCAGTGCTTTTCCTAGCTGGAAGGAAATCATCCAGAACAGATTGCAGGTTGGATAGTTTGGGTGATCATGGGCACATTCATTGAAGCCACCTGACTTTCCCACCCAGCTGAGATGTGGGTCCCTCCCTGCGCGTTTCCCACCGCTGTGGGCCGTTCTATATATGTACTGTACACAGCGTCTAAAATAGAGCTTACAGTATGACTAATTTATACAGCGCTGAGGCGATATCTGCACACAGAAATGAGCACCACATCGAGAGGCATTTAAAATATGCTTCAGGTGTTGCGAGAGGCAGTTAATCTCTAATCAGGGTGTTAGCCTAAAGCTTTCCAGTTTGGGCATTAAGGCCTCTGGATGCCCTTGTCCTAACTTAGTGGCAGAGAGTTGTGGGAAATAAGTGTTCCTAAAGGAGCTTTATATAGCTTTCAAATACTTAGGGATTAAGGGAGCGTGGTTCCACTGCAGAAATCAGAGAGGCAGGGCTCAACATGTGATCGCTGGTGGTGGGTTTAGTTCGGGCTTGAGTGTCTGTATTTCAGTAGTAGTTTTCTGTGTCCTGGGTCACATGTTACTTGTAACTACTACTAAAAATATACTTTTTTTCCGGGATGCGAGGGGAAGGGGGTGGGGGGGGAGTTCCTGGCATGACGGTTCAGTGGGTAGGGACACTTGCTGTAGTTGGGTCCCTAGCACCCATGTGGGGCAAAGGAAAACTGATGCTAGCAACTTGTCCTCTGACCTACACCCCCCCCCCCCATTAAATCCAGTTCTAGAGCATAGGTTTTAAAAGTAATATTTTCTGTTGATTCGTGTTGTTAGTTTGTTTGGGGTTTTTTTCTTTTTCTTTTCTTTTTCTTTTTTTTTCCTCTTAAGCAGAAAAAGGATTTTGACTGCAGTTCTAAAGAATGATGGCAGTTCTAAAACAGTAGGTTTTCAAAATAAAAACGATCAGGAATCGTGTTTGGCAGTGGACGCAAACATCCTTTTCTGCCTCCGACTGGTTCTTTTCATTCTTACTACAAGAACGTAGGACAGATGTGAGTAGGCCCACAATCAGTCCTTGTCTGGTTGCATCCCATTCTGCTGCTGCTGGGACAGTCGGAGTGTGAACTGAGAAACACTCTCGTAATAAGACTGAAGGGCGTCTGTAGTCCAGTGACCTGTCAAGTTAACTCGGAAGAAAAAAGGAAGCCGGTGAGTGTGAAGTGTTTCAGCTGGTCTGGGAGCCAGGCCTGCCAGGTGATGGCCTCCTGAGATAGGCCCTGAAAAGGAGCCTGTGAAACCCGGGCCTAGACCGCCAGGGCAACAGAATGCTGAGTGAGTGGATTGGATTGCTCGGTTTTCACTTGAAGCAGAGGTCTGGAAATAAAAGGTTGACCTTTTTTCTTCCTAAAGCGACTCCGTTACATGACACTGGGGCCCTGCTCCCAGAGATGGGTGCTAGTGATTGGAAATTCCTTCAGTGAGGGACTTGAAAAGAGCATCCCATCAGTCTGATTAGTGAGAGATTTCATGGTGCACAGTTACACAAATCCTGGTTCCCCTGTGGAGCTTTCAGTAAAGGAAAAGGGCTTCAGGATTCCACAGCAACCGAAAGATTCCACTGTAAAGGGATAAATAAACAACCGTGGGCTTTTATTTATTTATTTATTTTATTTTTGTAATTGACTCCGTGAGCAGGGATGAAGTAGCTTAAATAGCGTAAACTGTCTTCTGAGATCTTGGCTCTTCTGTATCAGTGCTTGCGAATGCTAGCGTTGCACTTGTAAAGTTCTGGAGGCTGGTTCCACTGCACTTTTTGTACATGGTGAAAGTCGTTGAGAGAGTAAACTATATGTTGCCTGCACTCTGCCGCAACTTAAAAATAAACACAAAAATTCATTTATGCTGCTGCTTCTGTATGTATTTGAAAATTACTTTTTTTTTTTTTTTTTTTTTTTTTTTTTGAGATAGTCTCACTGTGTTACTGGTGTTGGCTTTGAACTCCTGAACTTAAGAGACTCTCCTGCCTCACTCCCCAACCAGCTGGGCGATAGGTGTACCCTGTATTTACTGGTTGCTTGTTAACGAATGAGTGTACTTATCTGACGATGTTGAGGGTTGCCCCACACAGCTTATACTCTCTGCCCTCGTTAATTCTTGCAGCGCTACAAGTGAGAGCGACTAATTTATCTGGGTCTATAGTGCATTCTCTTTAGATTTGTTTATTTTTATGTGTATGAGTATTTACCTGCACGTTTTGTTTATTTTTACTTTTATGTGTATGAGCATTTGCATGTTTTGTTTATTTTTATGTGTATGAGTATTTACCTGCAGGTTTCTGTTTATTTTTACTTTTATGTGTATGAGTATTTGCCTGCATGTTTGTATATGCACCATTGCATGCCTGGTGCCCACAAAGGTCACCTCTCCTGGAACAGGAGTCACAAATGAGTCACCACGTGGTAGCTGGGAACCAAACCCAGGTGCTTTGGGAGAGCAGACATGCCCTTCACCTGGGGGGCCCCCCTCCCCCAGTTATTTTCTGAGCAGTTTAGATTCTATAGTGTCTGATTAGACAAAATACTTTCTAAAGTTTAACTTAGCTGCTACGTTTTTAACTAAACACTTGGAGTAATAATAATAATCCTCTAAGAACTTACTCTTTTCCAAGAACTGTCAGACATTGACACCAAACACATTTTCCAACAAATGAGTTTGGAGGGGATGTGGTATCCTCATCTAGGGTCCACCCTTGGCAGCACAGTGGGATCCTGTATCCAAAAATAAAATAGTAATAACAGTAATAATAAAGATCAGCGGTGGTGTTCTCAGGGAGTGGCTTTGTTTTGGTCTCATCAAAATGGTCACCTTTCTAACTTCAGAACAAACCATCTACGAGATCTTTTCTGCCTGCCATTCAGGAGTCTATTTCTGAACGCCACACTTGGGATTTTATCTGGTTGTTTCAAACATAAAGCATTTGATTCTGTATAACTGTCTCTCTAAAGGCATATTAATGATCTTTAATAGTTTAAAGGTTAACATAGATGTTTTATAGCTTGACTGAATATTTTTACTGCTCATATGCTTAAAAACCCAATTGAAAGGTATTTTTGATTATTACTTCTATCTCTGTAGTTAGCTCTTTTGGTTTAAAAGCATACTTCTAGCCAGGTCCTTATTTTTTTCTCATATATGAGCTTAGGTACTAACTTTCTTTTTTATATATTGTTCTCTGAAGACCATTGTCAGGTTCTATTTTTTTCCATCATGGCAGATAGTAGATTGTTTCGTTTCTACAGAAGTAGTCTCTTCTGTCTGTCTGTGGTATTTTCTCTCCCCATCCTAGCCTGATTCTCTTAGTTTGGGTATCTTTTTTTTTTTTTCTTCCAGTAAGGGATAGAGGGAGCTGGAAATGAGTGTCTGGGAGTCACTGGTAGATTTGGAGAAGGGCCCAGGAATCCTGATGTACGTTCAGCGCTTGCTGCTCAAGAGAAAAGAACTTCTGCGTGGTATTTTTCATGAGCGATGGCCTGCCCAGGCTTAGGATGGTGTCATGTTGTTTTTGTAAAACATAATATTTCAACAAGTGTCTAGTAACACTAATTTTTGTGTTTTAGAAGTCGATTAATTTGTTCTTTTTTTCTTTTCTTAGTAGTTAGTTTTATATTTAGAGAAAAATTGGAATGATAATAGAATATCCATATACCCCACAGCCAGGCTCACCTTGTTATTAATTAGTGAGTGCCCTAAGCCTGTATCGGATGATTTTTTTTTCTGTTCCAGGATTCCATATTACATTAGTTTTTTTATGTCTCCTTAGACCCCCTGTTAGACTTTCTTGTTTTGGTGGCCTTGGTAATTTTATTAATTTTCAAAATACCAAATAACCCTGGAAAACAAGAAAGCACAGACACAGACCTCTATATTTATTAACATTCTCCTTAGACTTTACTGAATTTTCATCTTAAGTTTTGTTTTGTGTGCATTGATTGGGGTTTTGTTGACATGTATGTCTGTGTGATGGTGTCAGATCCTCTGGAACTGGAGTTACGGACAGCTGTGAGCTGCCATGTGAGTGCTGGGAATTGAACCCTGGTCCTCTGGGTTGTTAATGCAACGTTGGCTCAAGTGAAAATACAGCTCTAGGAGAAATTCCTCCGAGTTGACCAAAGGCCAAATTCTGTACAAAATGTATCTAGGGTTGAGGCACCTGAAATGGGGGGTGTGTTTCCTGTTAAAGAAAATTAAGGACAGATTAGATCTGTCAACAACACCTGTCTCAACTCCGCCCTTCAAATGGATTGGCTGGTTTCAGTGGCTTAGATGGGTGGTTCACTGGCAGCTGTTTGCTGAATATTTTTAAGTGTCTCTGTTGGTTTAGAACACAAGCCTAATTTGTCTGTTCTCTCTGTAACGTTGCCTTCCGCTCAGTCGTTTTCATGTTGAGTAAGTGTTACGGTCTTAGGGCTGCAGTTAGCTTTTATCTCTATCTTTGTGGATTTTATTTCTATGTCTGTGGATTTTAGGATTGCAGTTAGCTTTTATCTCTGCATTCTATCTATGTGAAATATACAATGACCAAAACATCCTCGGTTTGCAGAGTTTCGCAGTATCAGCAGCATGAGCAAACGGTGTACGTGCTGGTCAGTAGAAGTTTCTCCCTTGTTACTCTCTTTCCCACATGCTCCAGACCGAATAGTGTGCGTTTAGTAAAATATAAAGTTGTGTGACTTTTCAGGCAGTATACCGGAGTGACTATACCCAAACTGGCCCTTAATGTAGTCAGTCTGCAAGTTTTCACGGAAGTTTTCACGGACGCTGCCCTCGATAGATAGTATGCTCAGAATTTTAATTTTGGATTGCTGTTTTTGTGTTTGGCAAGTTCTCATGACTGCCCTAAAACAGGACAAATTTTCATTTTGCGGGGAGGGTAAATTTGACTTTTAGGAACATTTACAAGTCACTCAGCAATGTAAAGAGTATGATGACGAGATGAAATGGGATCATTTAGGCCCACCTCAGATTTGACCTGCCGGGACTGGTTTTCTTACCCGACAGTAAGCTGGCACTTGCCGTTTCCAAAAGCGTTCTCTACTCTCCCCCCCCCCCATATGTTGAAAGGTACGAACTTCGGTTAAGATTGTGTCTCCCCAGGAAGAGGTGGCCAAGTACTCTTAAGTAAGAGAGTCATTGGTTCATTTCTGGGTGTTGAAACCTCATTCCAGTCCTGACTGAATCACAGCCTTAAGAATTGGGATCCAAGGCAGTATTGTTTTGTTTTTGAGCCAGGATCTCAGACTGTAGCCTCGACTCATGGCAATCCCCCTGCTTTCCCAGTGCTGGGATTACAGGCACGGATCACCACGCATAGCTTAAGTCAGTGTACTTTGAATAGTTATACTAGAACTTCGCTGAGGTCACCAAAGGTCGAGTACTGTTACTTGAATTAGAGGGAAGCATAGGTTTGGCTGTTGGGGCACTGTGCTTTTCAAATAGGATATATTTGCCTCTGAATTGCTTTCTATCTCACACAAGTGGAAGAGATATGCTTGTTCCCTGCAAGCCAATGGACTCCTTTTTGATGGAGTTACTTCACACCATCTTTGCTTTTCCTGTATGATTTAAAGCTGGTCTGACAGGGCTGCAGAGATAGCTCAGTGGTTAAGAACGCTGGCTTCTCTTCCTGAGGGCCTGGGTTTGGTTTCAGCAGCCATCTGGCAGCTTGTAACCATCTGTAGGTCCAGTTCCAGGGATTCCAATGCCCGCCTCTCACCCCCAGCACCAGACACACATGTGCACAGACATAAAGTAGGCAACACACACATAAATTAAGGCCTGAAACTGAACTTGCCTTAATGCTTTTGAAATGTAGTAGTATGTTTTATATGTACAGTGGCCAATATCTGCTAAGCTATGATTTGGAGCACTTGTAAGCATCTAGCATTGAGCATAAAGGATGGCTCCAAGAGAGGCTTCCCTTAAAAAATACAAAGAGTGCTTTGGTTGTTGGGCTCATTTTTAGTTGTTTAAATATATAGTTTAATAAAAAATGACTTGTTAAATTTCAAATGAATTCCCGAAGAATCTAGAATCTCATGCCCAGGGAGAAATGTTTTCTCTGGGAGACAAACTCCTTCCTTGTTCTAGAAGAGGATATTTTTGTAGCTGTGAATTGGACAACGTGCCCTATGTGGTAGGGGGTTTGGTTGTGCTCCCTGTCTGGAAGAAAAGGGGAAGGCAAAGGCTGTGGAGTGTTCAAGTCTCCCCTTTTCCCACCCCAGCACTTAGAACAAGAGAAGCATGAACTGAGGAGACGGTTTGAGAATCGGGAAGGGGAGTGGGAAGGCCGGGTGTCGGAGCTGGAGACAGACGTGAAGCTGCTGCAGGATGAGCTGGAGAGGCAGCAGGCCCACCTTCGAGAAGCAGACCGAGAAAAGACGCGAGCAGTCCAGGAGCTGTCAGAGCAGAACCAGAGGCTGCTGGATCAACTCAGCAGGGTGAGTCACGAGAACTTTCCTTGTAGAATATTAAAAGCGGAAACCAATTCCCTGTACTGGTTGGTAACTGTCTATGTGAAGGAGCCTTTCTGCACCCCACCCCACCCCACCCCCCAAGGAACTTGTTGGAATCGGTTTTTTCCTTCCCGAGATAGATTTGGGAATTGAACTCTGGCCTGTGAGTATGGAGCCCAGGTGTCGTCAAGAATTATAATAAAGGAGTCAGGAGCCAAGATCCAGGCCCATGATTCCGCCATCTGTAAGACTTAGTCTTTTAATCCTCTAAGATAGAGGTGCTTTGTGTATCTGGTGTGTGTTAGCACTCTGTAAAGATCTGTGACTCTTTACCCGGGGAAAGCCTACCATCGCTTGTAAAATGATTAATTCATTAATTCAATACATAAGAGGTGCTGTCTTTAACTGAACAGCTCAGGGAAATAAACATACATTATGAAAGGAGTGTCTACATTTAAGTTTTATCACCACATCAAGTAAAAATTCTTTCACATGTGTAGATAGGATAGTATCAGAAATGTAATCAACTAAGCTCAGGACTAATCATTGGGAAGTAGGTGGTTTGAGAGTTCGGTGAGTAGAAACCTAAATATAGTACATTCCTTTTAAATACCTGCGGGAGTGGGCTATACATTCACTTAAGACCCGGGTTTGCTATTGAAACTCAATCCTTCTCGTATGTTAAAAGCAAACTAGCCGTTCTTTAGAAAGAGATGTGGCCTCTTGTCCCTTCCCTCACCGCTGCCGTTCTTTTGAGGGTCCTGTGTCTTCTGTGTGGCCTTGGAGAAAGCTAAAGGCAGCTGTGGTAGATTCCCAGATTTTGCCCCAGGTGAAGGCTGACTGTGTGATGGTATTTGCTGGTGTTCTCACAGTTGCTTGTTTTTCTACGGGACTGGGAGACAGGTGAGTGTCTTCCTACGCTCTAAAGAATGTCAGCTAAATGCTGCTGGGGAGAAGGGAGGGACCATACCTGGTGATGTGGGAGACAGCAGCTCGCAGAGAAATGCCAGCAAATCTGAGAGGTGTTGTAGGCAGAGCTGAGTGGCTTCCCTGATTTCATGCGGAATCTATACCATTGGATTGGCGGGAGCAGCAGAGCCCAGAAGCCATTTCACAGGGCGGCTCCACACCAGCTTTCCTCAATCAGTTCTGAAGTGCCTTTTAGTAACCGGGCAGGAAGTCTCTATCCTTGTAAAAATGTGATAAGTTTTTGAGTCTTTCATTATTCATGAAAGATTAACCAGAGAAGTCTGGCCAGATTGCTGTATTTGTTCAAAAACTTTTAACTCTAAGCAAGTGTTTCAAATGAACTTACAGAATGAATGCAACAGAAGGATTAAGGGGAAATTGAATTTTCTTGGGCCAAGTTCATGTGGCAAATGTAGATTCAACCCTGCTGTTATATGATCTGGAGAAAGAGAGGGGAGCAAGATGAAGTTAAAAACAGACGCTAACGTGACCCAGAGCCTGGAGTTGACTGTGCTTGCTAGCTGGAGGGACTTGTTGCTGCCCACTGTCCTTCGCTTTAAAATAAGCTGACATTTGTGCTGCCGACAAGTACCGTTGAAATGAACGTGGAAAACTGTGGGCTGTGGAGATCGCTCAGTGCTTGCCAAGCTTTGCCAGGGAGGTCCCGGGTTTACTCTCCAGGACACTGGTTCTCGGCTTTTATGTCACAGTCCCCTTGAGGTTGAACAGCCCTTCTACAGGGTCACCTACGATCATTGGACAACTCAGATATTTACAGTTCATAACAGCAGAAAAATTAGAGTTATGAAGTAGCAACAAAAATAATTTCATGGTTTGGCGTCATCACAACATGAGGAGCTGTATTAAAGGGTTGCAGCGTGACGAAGGCTGACCAGGGTGTGGAGGTGCAGACTGTTTACTGAAGTGGCATCTTCAGAGTTGTCCTGTTGTCTGCAGTGCTTCCAGATATTCCCTCTAGATCTAGATTCTTGGTATCCTCTCTGGCCTTGAATGTAGGCCCTGGTGGTTGTGTGGCTTGTAAGCAGAACAAGTGCCTGAGGTTTCCATCAGCAGCAAGTTTAGATTGCATTTTATTATTGCTTTATTAACTGGGTATTCAAGAGCCAGAGGAGCTAAGTGCTTAGAGGGGAATTAAAATTCTCACAGGACAAGATGGCAGCCAGCAGAAGTGGTAGGAAGCCATGCTCTTTTACATTGTGTGTAATGAGGCTCATTCACTTGTCTGTTTTCCTGAGGCAGGGTTTTTCTGTGTAGCCCTAGCTGACCTGGGATTCTCTCTATAGATCAGTCTGGCCTGGGTCTAAAGGCATGCACCACCATGTCTCTTTATAACCATGTAATATATACTATGAAAAACAGAGTCCAATGATTCTATAAAACATTTGTTCAAAGTATTTTTGCATGTATTTGCTTTGGCTGGCATGGTGTCCAAGGTTGCTGTTAGCAATAAACAAACAGCTATATTGAGATTAATTCATGCTCTGTAAATGTTACCCTTTAAAGGTATGCAATTAGTTGGATTTTACTGCATTACAGTTACGAAGCCATCACTGCTGTCTATTTAACAGAATATTTCACCTCCCCAAAAAGAAGTGTTGTAGTTGTTAGCAATCACTTTTCACTATAATTCAGATCCCCCATGTCTAACCCCTGGCAACTTGTAATGTACCCTGATCCTCATGTTTTTCCTTGTTTTAGACTTTTTGTGGCAGTGAAATCCTACCAAAAAGCCATTTATGTGTGGCTTCTCTTAGTGTTTACCAGGTTTATTCATGACTTCACTCCATGTTATGATTGAGAAATATCTCATAGTTACATATAGCAATAATGTATCCATTTACCACCCCATTGTTACAAGTGTAGCGCTAACGTATCCACTCACTGCCTCATTGTTAGGTGAAGCAGCAATGTATCCACTCACTATCCCATGGTTACATATAGCAGCAATGTATCCACTTACTACCCCATTGTTACATGTAGCAACAATGTATCTATTCACTAGCTGATAGACATTTGTTGTTTCTGTTCTTTGGTTAGTATGCGTAAAGCCACCATGAACATCCATCAGCAGGTCTTAGGTGTTCACAGGTCTTTTGGCTAAGATGGGATGCTGTGAATATTTATCTTCCTTGAGCTCCTGGGTCCCCATGATGAGGAAAGGACTTGTTGCTGCTCTTCGTTTCACATCTGGGAAAACTTGAGGAAATAAAGATTCGTGACTTGATTAAGTTTCTTTCACATCTGGACTGACTAGATTTTCTATATCCTCTATTCCAGACTTGTAGGGCAGCAACGAAGCTCACAGGCTTTGAAGTCAGACTGCCCTGCGGCAAAACACCAACTCCGGCATTTACTAGCTGGCTGAATGTAGAAACGTTATTTTACCTTTAGTGCCCTCCTCTGTGTAATAGAAGCAACTGTATTGTTATTAACCAGGTCGTGTTATGATGAATATGTAATAAGGACACTTAAGGTTCAACCCTCAGTATCTGATGTATGTTAAGTGCTTAGTAGTTGTCATGTTCTCATTGTGTGGATGGGGTTTCCCCAGCTGGTCAGACTTCGATGTCTTAATAGTGGGATAATGTGAGATCTAAAGGTAAAAGTCATATTTTTGTAAGTATGGGAGTTTTTCATTTTGATCAATACTGCTCTGGTGAGGGTTATTATCTTCCTCTGTAATTCGGGCTAGTTTTGGTCTTGAGATTTTCTCTCCTAAGCCTCTCAAGAACTGGATTCTAAACAAGCTCCTTCATGATCTGGGTTGGGTTTTTTTTTTGTTTGTTTGTTTGTTTGTTTTGTTTTTTGTTTTTGTTTTCCATTTAAAATGAAAAGTGAGGCAGGAACTGGTTGTATTTTATTCTGTGATACTCTGTATCTGCTGGGTACGCTTCATATTCTGGACTTATCTTCTCCAAAGAACAAGCTATTCCTCTAAGTTCTCTCCTAGCTCCTAAGAGGCTATCCTCCCTCTCTCTCTCTCTCCCTCCCTACCTCTCTCTCTCTCTCCCTACCTCTCTCTCTCTCTCTCTCTGTGGCTAACATGTTGAGAAAAGTGTAAATTCACTTTCTAATTTAGATAGTAACACCACAGTAGGGCTCAGTACAGTGGTTCTCAACTTGTGGGTCGAGACCCCTTTGGGGGCCAGTGACCTTTTCACAGAGGACACCTAAGACCCTCAGAAGACATGTATTCACATGACTGTTCATAATAGCAGCAAAATTACAGTTATGAAGTAACAACAAACGTGATTTTATGGTTGGGGTCACCACTCCCTGTGGAGCTGTATTAATGGGTTGCAGCATTAGGAGGGTAGAGAGCCACGGGTTTGATAGGACCTGGCAGATACTCTCATGGTAACTACAACAACAGAAAGAGTACAGTGGGACTTGACTTCTGGGAGAGGAGAGGGTTAATATCTTGCACTGTTAAAGTGGGGGATTGGTGGGAACCCTGACACATAATGTCCAGTTTCTAGAGTCTCTCTCGGATAGCAGCAGCAAAAGCATAATTTCTGCTCTGTTGATGAGGCCTGAGATGATTGGTCACTGGCTTAATTTACTGGATCTGGACACTGTTGAGGCTCCATGGCATGGTCATGAAGCTCCCTTACCAGCTGAAAGCCAGAGCAGTGATTTGAAGGGTGCGGATACAGCAGCCTTGTTCCTCACAACAATGGTAATAGTAGTAGCAGGCTCCTCTTAAGCCTTTTCCGTCTTCAGAAGAAGATGTAAGATACTTCAGAGTAAGATACCGGTTTCAAAATGAGTGTCAGTTGTGTCAGAGACTTCAGTCAGGTGTAAAATAAAGCACTTTCACATTTTACATGGATGAAGCACTGCTCAAGCACAGTTTGAAACGTTAGGGAGAGGCTTGAGCCTGTTGACCAAAGAATGGAGAAACCAATGGATTCCTTCTGGACACTGAGATTTAAAATTGCTTAGGGGATGCTGAACTGCTCCTTCCTCAAAACGCACAGTCCTAGAGTTTAGAG